AGCACTCCTCTTTGATATCTTTAAGAAATTTAAACATCCAAAGTGGAAGAAGTATCTGTGTAAGCACTTCTAACTTGTTTTGGTGTCTGGATAAACTAGTTTATGATAACCGTAACCACTTCTGCAGGAACAGAAATGTTCTTTCTTTGCTTCAGTTTATTCAGTTCAATGTTATAACTTAGCTCATTCAGAGTTAAGTGAGGGAAAGCAAGAAGAAGTTGTTTTCTTCTTCAGATGTGCGCAGTAGTGTAAGTAGTGTGTCCTAGTTAGCAAAAAAACTGACTCAGTGTAAACCTCATATTTAATTACAACTTTAAATGTTTTATTTCTTTGCAACGATTAACAATGCTTTCATAAAATAGAAAGTTTACTGTTCAAAATTCATTATTTAAGATATTTTTGTTTGTGATTTTTAAGTAATCACAGTGTTAAAATAATTCTTTAAATCTCTTCAACCTGTTCCACTCTGTTTTACAGACTGCTGTAAATGTACAGACAGAAACCAGACCATTGATTCTGTATGTACAGAAGATGTGTATAAACAAAAAAAAAATAGGCTGGGCTTTTGGGTTTGATTGTTTTGTTTCTTTATAATGCCAGGTGAAGAGTATTTATCTTTTTATCTGAAGGGAGATTTGTTGATTCAAAAATTTATTCTCAGTCCCTGCTACATATGAGTGGGTTTGAAGAATGGCGGAAGATGAAAGTTCAATTAAAGCAAACTAACATCTGTGCCTTATATTGAGCATTTGTTCTTAATACATTAAAAACTTGGTGTAAAATGGTCCTTTACAAATGGTATTTGGAATGATAAATCTGTTGCATTGTGCAAAATGCAATTTTTATGTCAAAAAAGTTGACAAGTTCATTCTATTTGGCCTCTGTACTGAACCAGCTAAATTGAAAGGAAAACCTCTAATTCTTCTAAGCAGTTGCTTACTGTGGGGTAAAAGCTCATTTGTACTGCTTCCTGGTGGTAAAAGTTCCTTTAAAACAAAAAAGCCTTTTGGAAACCTGACTTTAGGCTCCTCATGCTCCCCACAAATGTTTCATACGATCCTGTTTTAATTTCCTAAGTGCAGGCATCTTGCAGAGGTGCTCAGTGTGCTTTTGGGCTGTGAAATTTCCTGTCAAACTATATTTATTGAATTAGAATGGTTAGTGGGGATTTGAAAAAGGTATGTAAATGATGATGAAGTGATTCCTTCACTTAGAAGTTTTTAATACCTACTTTAATAACTTTAACCCCTCTTGTCTGGAGAGAGGTTTGCCTAATCTATCTTTATTTGGGAAGAAACTTCCCTGTAGGTGTCCACTGTGGTGGGTTAATACACTTCTGTGATTACTGGCTTTTGAAATAGATGGTGCATCTGTTGGTGGGTCTCTAATGAGGTCTAATTTCTAGGAAATTAAATTTAAAAATATGAATTGTTAAATTGAGCTCTGAGCAAGGATCTACAAAACATGAAGGTGCGTATTTTAATCCTAGGAACTGGCATACTAAGAGAAAATATTTCCAACATATGATGGAGGCAGAATTAAGACCACTTAATTCCATGGCTTTTCACATATAAGATAAAAATGTCACCCTTTCTGTACAGTTTGCCTTTCAAGAATGAAAGTTCTATTTTGGGCATACTGAAGTTGCTACTTCTCTTTTTGTGGCTTGACAGTGTATTGACAGTGATATGTGGAAGGCACACAGAGTCAAACTGGAAGTGATCTTGCCAAGTATTCCCATGAATATCACTCAGGAAGAGGGCGAGTAAAAGTGAGTGTGAAAAAGGGGGAGTAAGCCTGAGGGTAAACAGGGGGAGTAGGCCTGAGGGTAAACGGGGAATAGGCCTGAGGGTAAACAGGGGGAATAGGCTTGAGGGTAAACAGGAGGAGTAGGCCTGAGGGTAAACAGGGGGGAATGGGCCTGAGGGTAAACAGGGGGAGGAGGCCTGAGGGTAAACAAGGGTAAAGGAAGATGAGAAAGGCATGTTAGGAGTGATAAAATTATCAGAATTTCATAGTTTGTTTAAGTCTTAGAGTTTACAAAGAAACACCATTAATTTGCTTGACTTTTTTACAAAGTAAGCAAAAAAGTTTAGTAAACAAAAGTTTACAAAACTTTTCAATATTTTTGTGAAATATTACTGAAAGGATGTAGAGTTATGCGATCGGAAGGAAAAGATGTTCCTTGTTTAGGACATCTCCTGTAGTTTTTGAGAGCTGTTGTCCCTTTTTCTAGGCAAGGTCATTTCTGTCAATGCCATCCAGTTGTCTTCAGGGTCTGTCTAAACATGTTCTTTCTTGCTAGCAGGGCCCCACCCTGGTGCCTTCTCCTCCCTGTTTATTCCCTCTTGTCCTCCTCGCACTACTTTTTTGGTGTATTTTTCTCGATTCAGCTCTCTCATTTCATCAATGCGTGGAGCTCTAGGCGTTTATCTTAGAAAGGACATAGAGTGTGTAGGTCCACTCCAAAGTGTTTGATTTTTCTTGTTTTAATTAGGTTTGAATTGTTTTAGGCATTTGCCACATTTGTCTTAAGCCATATTTTGATATGAAGGCACACAAAGTCAAACTGGAAGTGATCTTGCCATGTATTCCCCTGAATATCTACTGAGTGGGAGTAGGGTGAGAGTAAAGAGTGTTTTGAAGATCTTCCAAACCTGCCTAGATGCGACCCTGTGCCACATGCTCTAGGTGTCTCTGCTTGAGCGGCGGGGTTGGACCAGGTGATCTCCAGAGGTTCCTTCCTACCTCAACCGTTCTGTGATTCTGTGTTATTCTGTGATTTTACCCTGTTAGCAAAAATGGATTTTTTTAAATGTGTATGAGTAGGAAAACATCAAGCAAAACTGTAGAAATCTGTTGCAAGCCCTGTGGATGGTTCAGTAGGTGGCACTCTTTCTCCGAAATTATTGGCCTGATCAAGTATTTTTAAGAACGACTTGGTGAAGGAGGCTTTTGTTGAGTGTTACAATAGCTCTCTAACTTGATCGCTGGAGCTCTTGTAATGCATTTCCAAGGTTATTAGATTGTTAACCTTACTTGTAATGCGTAATTGCATTTTGTCTACTGCAATTCTTTGTATAATTCTACCAGAATATACCCTTTCAATAACAATAGCATGCTACCCTTTTTGCCTTCAGCCGGTTTATAGGTGTGCTGTGCACAGAGAAACTGCTGCTTTGTCAGACGTAGATTAAGCATTTCATATAGTTTTGGAGTTTTTGTAAAGTAAACTGTTAGAGTAAATATGGTGAAGTAGAAGTGGCTCTCTAGCAGTGCCTGTTGTGGTAAACCAGTAGTACTGATAAAAGGAAGAAAATGGCAGCAATTTTAAAAATATGATAGTATTTTAATAAGAAGAGTTAACACATATATTCTTTGAAAAATGAGCTTTGGTTTTCAGAATACTTATATTCATTTAGGAGGTTGGCAGTGATATGGCTGCTGAATTGGCAAGCTGTTTTCAGGCCAGCTATAATTAAGGTTGAGCTGCTGAAAAAAAGAAATGGCTCACTTTCTAAAAAGTTACTGGCTTGAGAAAATTCCATTACCTTTCTTTTCTGGCATGTCATATAACATTTTGTAGCATGTCTTGGAAAGGTGCATTTATCTAGTGGCGGATAATCTTTTTCTTGTAAAATCTGTCTTCTGTGAAATGTAACTAGTTTTTGTCTAGAAGCAAAAGAGGTTTGGGTGAATTTATATTGACCATGTTTATGAGTGTTTTTTAAAGAATATTTCCATTCTTCATTCTTTCTCTCATTAAGACAAAAACAACAGTTATTAAACACAATTCTACAATAGGGGTTTAAATATATGTCTTAAATGTAAAATTTATGACATCCATGAGGTGCAAAAGTGCTGTGGCTTTTTTCATATTTTGACACTCATTTTCATTAAGTGTCCATTTCAGAGAAAGTTACTGTGTGGTTTTAATACACTGTATGTACTTTTAAATTGTCACCAGGTGCATTTGCATGAGGTATGTGGACATAATGTCTTGAAATGAAACACTTAAGTGTTTTGAAGATTTATTGTATGTTTGGAATGCTTGTCTGGTTAACCCTTCCCTAGTCATTGTATTTATAAGTGTTCTTTAACATGGACTTACGTTCTTATAGTTGTTTCTTGTACTGTTCAGCCACAATAACATTATTACATGACATACGTATAGCAGCTAAGCATATATGCTGGGACTCATTGTACACATGTTTTTAATTAAATAGAATATGAAGCTTGACAGTTTTATGCAAATTCTTGCTCAACTTAATGTGAGGAACTTTATGCAGGGTAGTTCGACCTGGGCTGACTGGGATGAGCAGACGAGTTTGCTTAGGTCCGAGAAGAAGGACAGATGGACTTAAATTTGTGGCAGTTGTGGTAGTACTGTGAACTCTGGGGAAGGAGGAAATACATATGAAAAAATTAGTTTTTAAAAAAAGTATTTGGCAGTGCTTACTGGCTATATGTATTTAATGATACTTTTTACGCACATTCTGCATACTTAAGTCATTTTGTTCTGATTTTAGACTGGCATCAAAATATCCTCCTTGTAATATTATACTTGATGTTAGTGGACCCAGAATGACTAATTCCAAGTAGAATGAGTCCCTGTGCTTGAAATGCACATACAAGAATGTACATAGCGGTGTGTAACAGTGTGTTCAGGTGTATTCGGGTTGCAATTTCATCTACTACGTAATCCATGTCTGAATTATCACAAGATAAACTGTGCACTTATAAAACGCTGGTTTGTTATAGAAACATAGCTAGATTGTGTTAAAATTTAGCTGATTTAACTGTTTACTGGCAGTCTGTTGTTTGACTTTCCATTTAGTTATCTTCATTAATATATTTTGGCTAAAAGTGTATTGCTTAATATGATGTCTGATAATCAAGCAAAAACTGTGTTTGCTGTGTTAGAAGTTATAAGCTGATCACAAGTGACATTTTCATAGTCCAATTAAGTTGTTTTATGGCGATGTTATTCTTCCTTATAGTTAACACAAGAGGAATGTAGGGGTACACTGTACAAATATAGAACTGAAGAGCTGGATATTGATGTAAGTATTTGTATTTATTTTTTATTGGAAATGTTGGTACTTACCTTTTTCTTTTGACAATACTTTCTCCCTTGACTTTTGGGTTTGAAGCACACTTTATGCAGGAGTTACCAACAGAAATTGCATTGTAAAATTGAGGAGCATAAGGTCTTATTTTGGCACATACTATTAATTATATATAAAAACACGAAAACTGTGTGTGCCATTTATCCAGGATTGCCTTGCTGTGCAAGCTTTATTCAAAGATCAAAAACTACTTTCTCAAGCACCTCAAAGTGGTAAATCAAATACCAGAACAGAATTGGCTTAGTTTCTGTATGATAAAAAGGTGGCGGTCAGGACACTTGTTGAGTAGCAGTATATCATAGGACATGAAATTTGTAACTAGTCTGTAAGTACCTGTGTAAGAACACAGTGACCCCAAGCATCAGTAGGGCTGATGCATCTCAGGGTTCCTCTGCAGGATGCTCAACAGCTCCTTAAGCTCAAGCTTTTTTCCCTTGCTAGTTCTTTGAGAAGATTTGTTTCTTTTATTTGTTCTATTAATATTTTGGATATGGACTAGAGGCTTCCTGAGGTCTCTTCCAACCTGAAGTTTTGTGTTACCCTAAAATACAGAGTAAATAAAAAATGTCATTTTCATAGAAGCTACTGTACATCCTAAGTACATGAACATCAGACACTCAGAAAAATCTGTGTTTTAACCATCAATAACAGTTCATCCTGCTTAAGGTGAAAGAGTAGTTAATGGAAGTTCAGTGGCATTGCAAATCAAAAGAAATTGTTTAATCCTCTGGAAGGCTCTTACCAAAAGAGGGGTAACACCTGAAACGAGCTATAGGAAAGACTGTGAATATTGGCAGTATTCTTTACCATAGTGATAACTAAACAATGTTTCATTATCAGTTATTGAATTGCAAAAATTTTTCTGTGATTTTGATCTAAATTATATTTAGATAGAAGATTTAGGCATAAGGCAACACTGATGCATTCAGAATTGTGGAATTCGTACTTTGTGGTAACAGCATTTTAAGTAGTCTTTTGTAATTCTGTGAGCAAGTTCTATTTTGTCTGTAGATTACCTTAAAAGCAAACCTCTAATTGCAATTGTTTTCTGTTGCATACTAGGCTAAGCTTAGCCGCTTATGCGAACAAGATAAAGTTGTACAAGCACTCGACGAGAAGCTTCAACAGCTACACAAGGAGAAAGTAGGACAATTGTATTTATTACCTAAAGTGGATGTTATTTTACATGCTTATAATCAGAACACTGATAACTGAAATAAAATGAAAATCAGCCCAATGATGCAGAACATTAAAAATAATTCTTTTTATTATAATAGTACACGCTTGAACAAGCTTTGCTATCAGCAAGTCAGGAGATAGAAATGAATGCAGATAACCCAGCAGCCATACAAAATGTAGTCTTACAGAGAGATGACTTGCAGAATGGACTACTTAGCACCTGTCGAGAAGTATCTCGCGCTACTGCAGTAAGTAATACGTTTTTGCCAGTAAAACTCAGTGAAGTGTTAAACAATTATCTTCGTGTTCGTATTCTTAATTAGGTTGTCTCTGGTGATTTTTCATTACGTTTCAACAAACCTCACTTGTCGTGCGCTTGCATGCATTTTTTTGCAAAGGCAGCTGGAAAATAATCTTTTCAGCACATTCATCACAGACTGTCGTACGTTTTTCTTTTGCCAGGAATGAGCACATACTGACTTTAACTGCTGTGGTAATTTTCGTCTGTATAATACAGAAATTGCTTGGAGAGCAAGTGAATAATGCAAATAAGTTGTTAAATATGGCAAAAGCTAGGCTTTATTGATATTTTATGTAACTTGTTTAAACAAAAGCAGCTACAGGATGAAAAGAAGGAAAGATTACAGTCTGTCTTTGTAGCAGGCCAGTGCACTTCAAAGATCTTTAAAGTCATGCGATTTCAAAACCTTAAAAAATGAGAGGAAGAGAGTCTCTGTTTCATCAAGAAGACAACGCAAAGAATTATCTTTGCCCACTTAAATCCATGCCCAAAAGATACTTCTATGTCAAATTCCTTTGGCTTGTGGTGGTGAAACTGAAAGGAAGTCAGCCCTCAAGTGCTGTTTTCAATCTGTGTCTTAAATACATTGTGCAGGATTGGTTGAGGAAAATGAAAGCAGGGTAAAGAGAGACTACAAAATATACTTTTCCTCCTCAGCTTTTTAATTTATGCTGATTTAGTAAATTGCTTGATGCAGGCTTGAAAAGTGAGATGCTAGGGCTGATCTCAGAGCAGGTTTATTGTTGCGCCTCCTCCCATCTGGTGTTCATAGTTTCACATATGTAAAAGGATGGTATATTAGTAAGTCCTGGGCATTCACAGGCAGGTTTAGATGACTTACATTTGCTTTGCATAACACATGTTGCATGCACATGCACATGCTTTGCACTCACAGGAATGTGAGATGAGAGAAGCAAGTTTTCATCTACTACGGTGAGGCTTTGCCCCTGTGGAAAGAAAGCTTAGGACTCTCATACCTGCCTGTAAAGGCTGAGTAAAATTTCACCCCTACCTCTCTTTTTGTTTGTAAAAGAAGACAGAATATTGTTTGGTTTAGTTTCATTGTTGTTGAAAAATGAAGTTGCTTAAACATAACATTCTCTAAAACATGTATTTATATATTGCTGGGGTCTATTTATAAATTACTTCCTGAAATTCTGTACTATTGGATGAAGAATGTATCCTTGTTTTGTTTTGTTTGTTTGCATTTGTTGAGTGTGCACATGCATTTCTTTGTCTATGCTCTTAGGAACTCGAAAGAGCTTGGAGGGAATATGATAAATTAGAGTATGATGTAACAGTAACGAGGAACCACATGCAGGAGCAGCTTGATCGACTCGGAGAAATTCAGGTGTGATATAGGTCTCGTCTTAAAGTACATTTAAATCACTTTAATTTTCAATGCTTTTGATTAAAGATCACGTAAAAGTGAAGAAGGGGGGCTTTTCATATATACCTTATAATCTTATGGCTCATGGCATACTATGGAGGATTGAGCAACTAATCTTAGTTCTGCATTTCAGTGAAGATCTTGTCACACAAGAAGCACATGTGAGCGTGTGCATTAAAGGCCATTTGCTCTGGGCATTGTGATTTTCCATGCATCTACGGAGGGGAAATTACAAGGAAGCCAAAGAGCTGTAAAATTTGTTTATGTTAGACACTTTGGCCCAAACCATGATGGACTGTGAATGCAAATGGGTCCCTGGTTTGTGTGCCAGTGTGCAAACACCAACACCCCACCTCTTCATCCCCACCTCTTCATCCCCACCTCTTCGGGTGGGAAGGGATGAGTTCTTTCTTGAATGGTTTGTAGATCTCCTGTACAACGCCTGCTTGAGTTTTCTTTGGAAAGATTAGACCTAATTCTATTCTTAAGTGCAGTTTCAAGTAGCAAATTGCCGTTAATTTACCTGGTACATTGTGTTTTAGAAATGACTTAATCTTATAGTTGATGTTTCTGACAATGTTTGAATGTTGCCTGTCATGATCACACCTTATTTTCCTTCACTGGGAAAGGAAATGTCATGTTGTCTAGAGAAAGAGAAAGCTTCCCCCTCCTCAAACATAGTCTAAATTATAGCTCATACAGACTCTCTCTTTCCTTGGCAGACTGAGTCAGCAGGGATACAGCGTGCTCAACTTCAGAAGGAACTGTGGAGAATTCAGGATGTCATGGAGGGTTTGAGTAAACATAAACAACAAAGAAGCTCTTCAGAAGCAGGTAAACTAGGCATTTTTATGCCTTAGGAGGTGGGGTTGGATTGTGTGTATTTTTAAAAGATAAGCTTCCCATTTGCTTTTGAACGTTTGAAAAATTTTTGGTGGTACAGCTGCTGAGAACAAGAATACAATCAACTAATTTAAATTAATGTTTTGCATATTTGATAGCAACATGTAACCTGTTGCAACATGTGACCATTAATATGCTAGCATGTTTTAAAAGCTATTGTAAACACTTTTTTTTTCTTCTCTCCTGCTGCCCTTGCCACCACACAGGAATGATTGGATCAAGGACCTTTTCAGCTATTAAGTATAAAAATGAGGTATGATTTTAGCATATTTATTATTTTAGGATCGCCGAATTTCTGATATATGTATATGATAAAAATGAACATTCTTGTAGTTATTTTAAGGGTGTCTGAAATACGTATTCAATATGCTTACAGTAAAATATTGTATTATGGTTAGTTTTAAAGAGTAGTATCTCAGAGGGTAATTCTAAAACATTCTTTTGTTCTTTGTCCTTATATTCTCACTACTATGTTTCTTTTTTTTTTTTTTCCATTTCTCACCTTTTCCTCTCTTCAGACTCTAAAAAAATAACCCTGTTTTTTGGATTTGTTTTCTCCCCACCACCATTTTGTTGGGAAGATATCCATTGCTTTATATGTCTATTCAAATATGAAGCAGAACACAACAGCAGCCGAAACTGTGGGAGTTCTGAAATGTTCAATTCCTCTGAAAATCTGGCTGGAAATTTTAAAGGGACATTGTCATGTTTATCTAAACTGTATACAATATAGATCTGTCTTGCAAAGCTTTTTGAAAGTCTAATGTGTGTACAAATCTTTAAATAGATAATTGAATTTAATTTTAAAGATGATAATTCAGAGAATTCATACCTGACCATCAGAAAGTAAAACTGATAGAGCTGCAAAAGCTTAATAAGCTGAAGAGTGCAACAGTTGAAGCATTTCAGGCTAGATAGTAGCAATAACAAAAGTCATCTTGTTCTTTGTGTGTGTGTGTGTGTGTGACATTGTCCCTAAAATTCTGAAAACAAAAGTTGGTGTAGTTATGGTAATATATTTTTATTTTTAAGTTATAACTAATTGTAACAGGTGTGCACATCTAAATAAGGTGACTATTCTACAATCTTTAGGAAGAGGAAGTAGTGCCACCTCGTCCTCCACTCCCTCGGTCCTATGACTTTACAGAGCATCCTCCCATAATCCCCCCTCTGCCCAGTGATAGCAGCTCCTTGCTCTGTTATAGCAGGGGCCCAGTACATCTGCCAGAAGAAAAGAAGATTCACCAAGTTCAAGGATATCAGAGAAATGGATCTCACTGTGTAAGTGGCTTAAACCGCCACGTCGTTCTTGAAGCATTCCCCCTTCCTTTGCACAGTCACTATTTTTTTTTCTTGTTTTGCCATCTGGCTACTTCTGTGTTATGTTTTGACTTTTGTAAATTGAGTTTTATTTATAGCTCCATCATTTGCTTTTGACATTTTCCTGTCATATATTCTGTCATCCGTAAAATGTCTTAAGACTTAAAGGCATGTGTTCTGTGTCTGAGTAAATTTCAGAAAAAAACCACACTTTTCTCACAAGTTCTTACAAACTCTAGACTCGGATTCCACATTTGTAGAAGCCTTGTACAAGTTTGGTTCCTAAAGATCAATTTGGTTCCTAAAGATCATTAGAAAAATCGTCCTTTCACTTTTTCCTGGCAAATTCTTTCTGCAGTTTCAGAAAGTCTCTTAACTGCGGTCACTCAAATTAATTACAAAGGCATGCCACTGCAGCAGCACTTAAATGATGAAACATTGGCTTAAAAAGAGAGAGCAAAGTCATCAGCAGAGTAACTATTTTGAGTCTTAAGACACAAACGCTTGTACAAAAATCCCGGTGTATTTACTCCCTAAACTTGTCATTCTGCAGGGTCCTGATTATAGACTTTATAAGAGTGAACCAGAGCTAACTACAGTAGCAGAAGTGGATGAGTCTAATGGTGAAGAAAAGGTGGAACAAATTTCAGAATCAGAATCCACAGCTAAAGGTTTGTCCTGGGCATGTTGTTTACAGCCTTTCAGAGTTTTTCACAAAGAATCAAAAGCTTTAACTGTTACAGAAGCTATATTGTCTTTCATACTTCTTGTGGCCTGTCCATTTCTTAATATGATGAAACAACTTCTGCAATAAAATAATGATTTAATTATATGACGAGAAAGATTTCAGTCAATTACAGCACAGAAAAATCAAACATTACACTCACCAACAACCCTGAAATCCTTATTGACACCATGTCTAATCTCATCACTCACATTCCCCACACACCATTCCCTGGAACAATTGCCCATTTTATGTCCTTGCCCTTGAACAATTATTCAGTTTTTGAATCAAGCTCCCAATGTTATGTCACTGGAACGTCCAAAAAGGCAGCACCGCAGAATTTTCAGGCTCTCATAGGGCAGGGAAACAATGTCTTTTTTTTTTTTTTTTAATCTTGTAATTGTTGAATTGCCTTCTATCCTCTGATATAATAGGAATAATGATCATGACCTTGGAGTGTACAGACAATAAAGGTCTTTGCAATTGCTAAATGCTTCAGATTCTTCTCTTCAGCTCGCTTCTACAAAAGCTACTAATTGCTTGGTAGAGTCCTTTACCAGGAAGTGCTTCTCAATTCTGTTTGTTAAAACGCACAGAATAGTTTGTTAAAAGTGACGTAGGGAAAAGCAGTTGCAACTTCCAACAATTTAAGCACCAAGCAAAAAAAGTATTAAGAGTGTTAAAGCAAAGTTACCCCTTTCCTTTCTGTAAGGGTTGATGTTTCCAGTGGCAACAAGATTGCTGCCTTCTGCTGTGATAGTGTGAAAAGGGGTGAGTCTGGTGCAGCGGTACCGTAGGAATGTGAGCCCAGAGCTGCGGTTGTGGTGAGGGTTGTGTGTGTGTGTGTGTGTGTGTGGAGGGAGTTAAAGCCAAGGACAGCACAGCACATCCAAGACTGTTGGGGTGTAAAACACAGGGAATGGCTCTGACATAACACGTCCTTTTCATTAAGCTTGCACTTAACGAACACAAATGCTCCGAAATTCCTCCATTCAGATTCAGAATGGCATATGCTGAGATGTAATGGTCACGTAAGGTGGATATTAAATCTCTTTTAACCCGGTGGTGAAAGATGCAAGGTTTAGCCTGAGATTTGCTAATCATCAGGCACGTTAATTGAGGCGGTTGCCTTTCTGATGACATACCTAAGATTTATTGACCTATAGTGGCCCAGGCTATTTATAGACATTTAGGATGAGAGGAAAAGTCACTGTAAAGGCCGCACAAGAAAGCCTTCTCTGGCTGAATAAAGCAAGCAGGTTTTTTTTAAGCACCCAGTCTGCTTTTTATCTTGCTCAGTGAAGAGAGGAGTGATTTTATTATGTCCATCTTTAACAAAACAGCCCTCAGTAAAGGGAAGCAATAATATAAATACTTCTGTATAATATAAATAGTATTTGCAGGGGAGAATAGTGGTAGCAAGTGGAGGGACGTTCTTTATCTTCTTTAAATAATAGACTGAAGTGGGTTTGTTGCAACTGTGTTTTATCATTTAGTCCACGCTTGGGGGAGCATGTGAATTATTTAGAAGGTTTTTTTGCTCTCTGTATTCGCTTAATAGTAATACTAATCCCCAAACATCATGAAAAATATAGCCACTTGTCTGTTTGTTGTAGCACATGTGTCGCTGTAACAACAACTTCTGGTTTCAAAGAACCTCTTATGACATTCTGTCCTAACAATTTACAAGCTAAAAAGGAAAGAAACTCGCAGACAGCTCATCTCTCCAAAGTGTTTCTTTCCTGCTGTTTTAAGGAGTCATGCTGAAGCGACTCTCTAGTTTGCCAGTGCGGGTGCTTCTATGATTGAGTAAATTTCAAGAGAAGAGCAAGTGCTTTTCCAGCTCATTGTGTACTTCGCTGCGCGGCCACTTTCCATTTTTCTGCCTTCAGTCACTCTCCTGTCTGTTCCTTTCTAAATGCAAACAAAAAAGAGAAACATTTTAACAGAGCTGTGTAAGGTAACCCTGACTGCTCTCCCTAAACAGAGGAATATTTATGACCTGAATAGTACATAAAGGTGACACACAAGACGAATCGACTTCTGCTCAATGTTTTATCCTTTTGATGTGTAAAGGAGACCCAAACTGTTGTTTTACAGTTTTTGCTTTGAATGCTAAACTTGGCATTCAAATACCTCCACACTATTTTGTCAGCCCTACCAAATTATTTGGAGAAACAGTTAAGCTTTCACTGAGTCAATATATCCTCTGAAATCTGGGTGACCTATCCAGCAAAAATGAGGAGCAATAGTTTGTCTTTCAAAGCTCTTTTTTTAGGCAAAGGTAGACAGTTTTCTTCAATAGTTTGAATGCCTGCATGCATCAAGAAGCAGCAATGAAGCATGTGTTTTATTTATATGTGTGTGTGTGTGTGTGTGTATGCATGTCTCTCTTTTTTGGGGAAGTTTAAGCTCACTTCAGTTTTCTAGCAGGTTAATTACCTTCCTTGCAAGGGTTCTTTAAGGAGTGAAGCTAAGGACAGATATTGCTACGAGATGTTGCATTGGGCAGAGGTTGCAGCGATGCCGGCGCGGTGGAGCCCGGCTGCTGCAGTTGCCTGTCCCTGGGCTCCCGGCGGGAGCGCGCAGCCAGCCGGAGCGGAGCGGAGCAGGCAGCAGAGCCGCAGGGCAGCACGTGCAGGGACGGGGAGCGGAGCAGCCCGCTGCTGCTCCTGCCCGCGGCCGCGCGGTCCCAGCTCGCCAGCCCCTCTCGTGTTCGCAGACACGTCTGAGGACGGAGTTTCGCACGAAGATGGGCCAGAGAGCAGTAGTCAGGCGTAGCGCTGGGGCAGGCAAAGCGTGCTGGCCTTGCACACAACCAGCTGCTTTTATTCTCCCTCTCGTTTTCCCATGCGTTTCCTTCTCTGTCCACCTCGAGCCGTCCCTTTCTGCGCCCTTGTTTCCTCACCAATAAGGAGCCCACACACAACGACTTCACTCGTCCCCCTTTTGCTACGTCCCTACCCAAGGTTTGGATTTCTTGTTTAGGAGAGCGTGGCCTTCTGTGCTGTTGCTGCTGTAATTACTTAGGCACTGCTGGCCAGGGGTGTTTTGCTTCCCGGAAAGTCTTCAGTCTTCCCCTCCAATTTTCTGTGAAGTTTGGCCGTCTCTCACATAACTCCCCCTTCACTGTGAAATGTAGCCGTCCCTCACCCTGCCACCTAGGACTTTTCTCAGTGTCATTGTTGTTTTTATGTCCAGTAATTTCTCCCATCATATGCAGTAGTTTCTTGTGTTCTCTTTGGTTAGCTGCCCCTCAAGCCAGAGGCTGGTTACCTACCTCCATACCTTAACATCTGGGATAGCTAGGCATGAGCACCCTTCTTGTCTTTTGGGAGAACAGTTTCCAGGGATAACAGCTTAGAATTTTAGAAACAATAAGATCTTCTGGTGGTATTTTGTGTAGCATTTAGTATGCTGTTTTACTGTTTCACAGGCTCACATTTTCCTGTGGGAGTTGTACCGCCTCGAACCAAATCTCCAACTCCAGAATCTTCCACAATAGCTTCTTATGTCACTTTAAGGAAGAACAAGAAGATAGATTTAAGAACGGTAATTTAAAATAACTTTCAATCATTCATAGAACACAATGTGTTAATTTTATACGTTCAATTTTACTTTAGAAAAAAGTATGTTTTTTTCTTTCTTTTTTAATTTCCTTTACATAAAACTCACAATATTAGGAGGTAAGAAAAAGTACGATGTATTAATGGAGACAGCTGTAGCAAGATTGACAAAACTGTAAAGGTCATAAACTACACAGAGATTTCCTTGCACTCAAATGGGTTAAGAGCGAAATAGTAATGAAAAATATACTAAGCAAGTGAGACCTGAAGTTCTAGCTCTTTTTTTTTGATAGTTACCACTATTATTTTTGCTATATTCAGTACAGCAGCAGTGAGCTCTTCTTCCCAGTGCTGTATTAGAAGAATGTAAAAATGTTAAAATTTTTAAAGGATTTATCTTTAGGTTTGGGGGCAATTTACTACTACTACTACTACTATAATAAATAATAGGTTTTATTTATATTACTGCAAAACAATTTGGGAAAAGAAAACTAAAGCAGACAGAAAGTAAGGATGCTGTGATCAGTATGTGAGCAATAACGGGATTTTCAATCATGAAGTCCCACGGTGTTCGAGTTGAATACAGGGTTAAAATGGCTGTAGTTCAGGCAAGAGGGGGACTTTTGCCAAAGCTGAAGCGCAAGCAGAAGCAGAAAGGTTGTAGGAAGAGTGGGAGAGGACAAGAAAAATAACAGGATGTTGACTGAAGAAAGAATACCACTTGTCACTCCCAATTAAGTGATGTCCAGCTGTAGCTCTTCTTAGAACAAAAAGAAAAAAAAATAGAAGGGACCATCAGATCAACTGGTAGAAAAGGCACGGATCATTAAATTTTAATTATATTTGTCTCAGTTGAGTAACTTGTGTTTGACTGTGGTATAACATTTGGTAAATTGTTTAAACTTGATAGGATGTGTCTCTCCATTCTCTTAGCATCCTTGGTCATGATGGCACTGTATATATATGTGTGTGTGCATGTGTACAAATATATAGAGGGTTACTGATAAAGACTCCTTCCTTTTCTTTACAGTGTCAACATTCATTTATTAATCATGGGTTCATGTGCTTTCTTTGGATACATAGGAGATCTTTTCTTGCCAGCTATTTTTCTGCTTTTTAATAAATCATTAGGCAATCTTTTCTGATAAGTCGAATGTCTGGGAATCTTGCTTTTCTTTAAAAAAAGTGTTCTTCCATTTAAGGAGAGACCAAGAAGTGCAGTGGAGCAGTTGTGTCTTGCAGAAAGTACTCGGCCTCGAATGACTGTGGAGGAACAGATGGAAAGAATAAAAAGGCACCAACAAGCTTGCCTAAGAGAGAAGAGAAAAGGACCAAATCTTATTGGTGTTTCAGAGCAATCTCCTTCACTGAGCTTCTCTTTTGCCAGAGATAATCCTTTTAAGTTGACACAGGTGAGTACCAATTAGATTTGCAAAGAAAAAAAGTTTTATGAAGTTATTCCAAAGTTACATGGTATTATTTGTGCCCATTTGAGACTGTTTGTAAAGAAGAACAGTCATAATTCTGTACCAGGCACAAGAGAAAGGGACCTTCGTGTTTATACCTACTGGTAATGATTAATTCACCTTTCTTCAGGAAAATAAATAACATGTTAAATAGATGTTAAAATTACATCTGTTTGATTATGCATTGTGAGGTTTGTTAGTAGTTACTTATTTGTCAAATTTAACAAACAATATGAAATTACAAGCTTTGTCACTAAATACAGCGTCAGGGAGAATCACGAACCATTTGATGTATAAATCATGAAGATTTTCTGTCATGTACTATATGCAAACATCTGTAAAAATAATTTATAATCAGTTGTAGGTAAGTTGTATTTCCCCACCATAGCTCTTAAATGATGGTCTCTTTAGCTGTGATTTCAGAGCCCATAAGCTCATAAAAATAGACTCCTCACTTTCCTTTTCACTTGTGCTTAAACAGCTAGGGCAGAGCAGCACTTGTTAAATGTGTAAGGGTGGAGCAAGAGAGGAGGAGGAGGAGGATAGAGGAAATAATGGCTTGTTATTAACCAGGAAATACTGACTCAAATTCTTCTTTCAAAACAAAACAAAACAACCCCTTCAGGACGAAAACAGAGGTAGAGTCAACTTAACGCATGCATGCTACAGCCCCAGCCAGCTGCTTTGCAACAGCTGAGTTTATTAATGATTCATGTCTGCTTTTTCAAGAGTTTAATAGGGTTATCTTTTTATCTTCTGGCATACTTTGTGTCTCAGAGATCCCGCTGCTGATATTTTAGAGGAACATGGAAACGCCTCCTTTCATGTTTCACATTTGTTTTGACATCTGATTCTCCAAAAGCAGGGTAAACACACTGAGCTGTTAATTTGGAAAATGCCAAATAAATTTCAGAATTTGTATTAATCTAACGCCTGCATGCTACACTGTCATCAGAGCTATGCAAAAGTTACTTTTCCTTCAATAAGGTTGGATCTCCTGGTGATAGCGAATTCGAGTTTCACCTTTGCATTGTGGTATCTCTATTTGAGAGGATGTCATGAACGCAGGGTGGCCGCTCCAAATATTTTTGTAAATATCGAGGCCTTCCTCATGAAAAGGAAGCGTAAAGCAAAGCTTTGCACAAGTTTCCTTTGGTACTCTTTGCACAGAAGAGTTCGAGCTTCACCACTTTCCTTAGGTACTGTTTCATACTTCGCAGTCAGGAAACTGATTTGTGTATTTATTTATTGTGCCTGGTGAGCAGGAATTCACTTCTCCTGTGGCAATCTCATATTCTTCTCGAGTGCTTTTTGGTAAAGGCCCCCAAAGTGAAGCTTTACGCTGTGTTGATACTTCTTGTTTTTAAAAGCAAAATTCCTATGCTTCTACCGATTTCACAAAGAAAAATAGTGAGCTAGCATTAAGTACTGTAAGACTTTGCAGTTGGAGTTTTGTTAAGAAAAAAATAAGGGGATTTTATAAACACACTTTATTATATAAAGGGGATACTAGTACCCTTGTAAGGGCTAATACTGATAGGATACTATTATCCCTTAGTTGTAGAAAAGAAATTAGTGTCATTTGTAAAGAATACTGATAGTGTTATCAGAATACTAAAGGAAGTTGGTTAACAACTGTTGTTGTTTGGGGCAAGGGTATGATACGGGTTCACACCTTATGTAGGAAAACAGAGAGCTCGATTTGCTGAACTGTCTAAAGTGGAATTTCCTCCTAAAAGAGGGCAGGCGCTGCCCTGGACAGGAGTTCAGCCCCAAGATCTGCTGCTCTCGTGGCTCCTCTACTTCTCCATCCCCGCGTTCAGTTTGACATGACCTATATGAAGGTCAGTTTGCTGTTCTGGCAACACAGTGTTTGCAGTTCAAATTCTAAAGACGTTTCTACCATCCTTCCTCAGAAAATGTATGTCTTTTTTTATGCTCTGTGCAGTGGCTTTTTTAATGGAATAAGTAATGCTGTGGTTTTAACATTGTTCCCTTATCCTCTGCTAGTATCAAATGTCTCTTTTTAAATTACACTAGAGTCCTGGAAGATACCCAAGATAGTTGGGGATCGTGCATGCATGTGTGCTATAAATTTTGCACCGTGGAAGTAGATTTTTATCGATTTTTTTTTAATCAGGAAAAAAGGGTTTTATTAAACTCTCAGTGCTTATGAATTTCAATAAGAGAAGTACTAAACCTGGGTGTAACTGAGCTAAATATAAATGGAATTATAGAAGTTAAGAAAAGGCAATCAATAAAAAAGCTGGAACTTCTGGGGGGGATCTATAATAATCTTTCAAGAAGAAAAAGGTTAGGCAGCCTAAATGCAGATGTCACTGCATGTGCTTTCCCAAAGGTATTTATGCCACTATTGTAGTACATTGGGTAGTTTTGAAATGAACAAAAAAAATAGGAAACTCAAAGACGGGTTCTTAAAAATAATTTTATTTTTGCTTACTAGATTATGGTATGTTTTGCAACGAAATGACACTTTGAAAGTTTGAGATTAAATGCTTAAGGTGTCTTAATTTGTTTTCATGTTCAGAGAGGACAGTGTAAGCCTTAAGCCAGAACTGAGACTGTAATAACCACTTTTTTAAATAGTAACTTTCTGTATGTCAATTTTGTTCTGCAGAGTCGAAAAAAGGATGATGCTGTACCTGGTAACCTAGAGAGTGCCATTAAAGATAATTTGAAACAAAATAATGAAAGTCCGGGAGAAGAAATAGCACAACTAAAAGATGATGGAGCACAAGAATATAATTCAGATTTTACTACAGAGGTACTAAACTATGCTTAATTGAAGGGTTCATCAGTCAGTCTTACAGTAGATTTTTTTTTAAACACAGCAATTAAGTATGGGGATTTGAGCCATTTAATTTTGCTTGGAAGAATAAGATATATTTTTATGTGTAACAAATGTTTCGACATTTATAGTGCAAAATTCTTACCATTATTGTGCAACATATGTAGTGCAAAATTGCATCAGATGTGCCCGTTGCTGAGAAAGCGATTTCTGTTAGTCGTGTAGTTAGAAGTCTTAAATTTAGTTTTATTTAACAGCAGCTCTTCGTGCCTTGGTTGCTGGGAAAACGACAGAAGGGCCTTTGAGAGCTGCTTCTTGGAAAGCCAGGATGCCGCTGAGGCCTCTTTAGCCCCGGCCCCGCAGCGCGGACGGGAGATCCCGACGCCTGTTGGCAGTCAGATTTCCACCCGGCTCCGCGGTGGGGCTGGTGCACCAGGGTGCCTGGGCAGGGCCTGCGGCCCGAGCGGCTGCTCCTCGCGCGGCTCCGCGGGCGCCCTGGCGCTGCTCCCGCATCGTCACGTCCTCTTGGCTATTACACGTTTTGTTTTAATTTGCTTAGGGAGGGTTTCTCCCCCTCTTTTTCTAGCTGTGTTCTTTCATTAATCTCCCTTTGCTCTTCCCTCATTTTCCGTTTCGCTTGCTTATTTAAGGCATGTTTCAAATGGATAGCGCTATAAAATTAGATGATTAACATTCATTATTCCTCATTGTTTTAAAAAACACTTTCTATTGGGAGCCTGTTGCTTTATGTTAAGTAATCAAGCCTTTTAAAGGAGTATTGCATGATCTGCTGCCATCAGTTGTGCCTAATCAGGCCCTTAAGAGCAGCATTCAAGCTCCTCAGTAATGTATCCGGCAGCTGGAATTGCTGCTGGCATCGTTAAGAAGGGGGTAGTAAGGGAAAATGCACAGGCTGCAATCTGAAGAGTTTGGATAAATTCTGGAAACTATTAGGCCAAATCCTGCTCATTGACTCGGGGATATGTTTCAGGATAGCAACTATCAACTGGAATGGTATTGATAAAAATTTCTTAAGTTATGTAATTCTGAGTTACTAAGTTTACATGATGGCAAAATTTGTCCATTAATAAAACTGTTTCCTGATACAGTGTTTCTTATCCACCACTTAGTGTGTGTTACCACTTAGTGTGTGTTACAGCTTTTTGTTTCATGATTTCATTTTTTTTATAGCTGACAAAAACTGAAGATCTTTTATCAGATGCATATGTTGTCTCTGACTCAAAAGAAGTGAATAATGAAGAGAAAGTAGAAAAGGAAAAGAAAAATAAATCGGAAGAAACACATGATGGTGATATAAGGTAAAAAATAAAACAAGATGTGAAGGGTCTATTTTTATCTTGCACATTGTATTTATTAGTTGAAAGCACCAAGCAGCTAATGAAATTCCATCATAAATAGTTATGAGGTATCTTTATATGTTTGGGGGATTTACTTGCAGAGAAATCCAGTGAAAAACTTAAGCCCTGTAAGGGTTCAGTAAGAGGGGATGAGTAAGTGGGAGGCGATGCTTATTTTCAAGTATTGCCCCAGTTATAGGCAGAATACGTTCATAATCCTTGCTTTGGAAGACAGAAGCTAATTAGTTATGTTAGCTGAAGTTTTGTATTTCTCTGTTATGAAAGCTTCAGCCAAGGTAGTAAACTTTCATAGCAAGTTCGTTCTTGCTGATTGTTAAGAAAACATCACATTTAAGAGCACATTTAAATGGCTTATTTTACACTTGGTGCTTTAACTTCTGCATCCCTGTTTCAAAAAAAAAAAAAAAGAAAAAACAGCCAAATTGGAGGAGGGCGCTATGGCAGATAATCCTCTTTCATGATTCATAACTTTATAAGTCGCACAGCCTCTACAGTTGCATTATAAATCCTAAGTGAGTTCCTACATTTGGTCATAACTTTCTCACCATTTCTCACACTTCAGTGAAAGAGGCATCCTGTTGTAGGAAACCGTGAGCACATGTGAGGGAAAGGAGATCGGTTAACAGTGCTTAGCTCTTTGAAGAGTCTCAGTTTGCAAGGCAGAAGGGTTTCCAAATATGTATTTGACTTACATTAGGCCAACTTCCAAGTAGCAAGGCTTTTCTATTAACAGAAGCAAGCTAAATTGTAACTCCTATACTTAGTGGTTAACACCTGGAATTAAGTTAGGGCGAGTTCTAAAAGCTGTGCTTTTTTTAATCAGCTTGCAGAATGTGACCACAGTTGCAAACCACAAACCTAAAACCCGTTCTGAAGAAAGTGAAATAGTCAGCATTCGAGAACAAGAAGGGCTTATTTCTTCATTTGAATTAGCAGCACAGTCTTCAAAAGGAAACCAGACAGCAGCAGGTATGGAAAAAGGGTTGACTGAAGCACAATCTACACGTTACATATGTAAATTTTTATTTCATTATGGTGATGTCTTTTGATGCACTGAAATCCTTGTGAATTGAAAAGTGCTGACTTAATGGAGCTAGCAAATGTGTGTTTGGGCAACACAAAGTGAAAAATAGTTACCCAGTGGATAACTACAGAAATTCCAGTTTTCTGAGGTTTTATGTAGATCTTGTGGATACACTTAATTCAGGGATGAGACTATTGCCAGAATCAGAGTCAGTCTGTCGGTTTTGGTTAGAGCAAATCCTTCCTTGTGTGCTCCTTGTGCAGAACCACTTCTTAATCCTGGATATTTCCACACTGCTTACCTTTACCTCCTTGCTAATGGGCTGCCTCTGATGCCACCAAGACTGAAGACTCCTCAAGAGTTTCCAGTATATCCAGTAGTTTATGAACTAGCAAATAAAAGGCCACTGAATAGTGGTTTTCAGGAATAAGAAAACACATAGAGGCAGCAAACACTAGCTGACTGGTAATACACCTGGAGGTGCACAACTAGCCTGCAAGAACCAAAAGCTGGAGTAAAACAGACTTGGAATTTTTCAAGGATAGAAAAAGAAAGCACATGTTGGGGGAGGAAGAAGCAAGGAGGCAATTTAAGGAGTTATTAGGGTATTTGGTGAGAGGAATGGTTGAGGAACCCAAATGCTGAAATACTAGATTTAGAAAGGTGACTTGGACCTTTGTAGTGCAGTCACCAATCCTTTCTGTGACTTGATAATCCATACTAGAACTTGTAAATACGTTTTATAATGTCAAGCAGAATATGAAATGCATAGTTAATCTGAGTTAGGGGTATAAATCTGGATCTAGAGTTATTCTGAGTACTTGAATTCTACATATTCTGTGAAAATGATTCCTTTCTTTCTAACGTAAATAATATGTTAGTTTTCATGTGTCCTGTTTTTGTTCCCCTGCAATGTTCTGTCACATGAGGTCTGCATGATGATCTTTCTTGGGAAGAGCTTGCGTTCTTCCCTGAATTGTGCTCATTGTGCTGTGGTTTTTCAAAAAGATCGCATTTTATGTCTTTACTTGTGTAACTTCCATTTGATTCTGCTTACATTTCTTATGATTTGAAATTGTGATTTTTCAAGCTTTATTATTATGTTTTGGAATTGTGACTTCAGGGTAACTTTTGCCTCCTGTAACTCTTTTTCTTATTTGTCTTGCTGTATGACTCACAGTGAAAAGTTTGCCTTCTTCACCAGAATCGTCACTGTCACCAGCTCCATCTGCACAACCACAGCTCACAGAAGGATCACATTTCATGTGTGTATAGTTACAGAGAAGTACGTCTTTTTTCCCTCCCCTCCTGCCTTATTCCTGCGGTTTTTCAGTGTATTTGTATTTGTTATCTCTCTGCAAACCATCTGTAGACAATATAACGCAAGGCAAAAAGGTATCTGCAGTGTTGAATACAGATTAACCATAAAATAAATGTATTGATCTGCTTGCAAGTAATGTATTTTGTATTCAGATATAAAGAGCAAAGACTAATCGGCTTATCAAGTACATTCCCCTCAAATGTCAGAATAATAGCACTTTGCTTAAATATATAAGAGACTTAAGCTGTTACAGAGCAGATGTGCAGTTAAGGTAGGAGCATCAGTGCTGAGGCACAAGTGGCCCCTAATGCTCCAGGGGAGCTAGAGCTCTTGGTGATGCAGAGTAGGGCATGGAATAAAGCTCCAGAAAATGTGTGGCTTTAAGACACAGATAAGGAGGGCATGAAAAAGGAGATGGGAAAGAGGGCGGAACAAGTGCAGCAATTACAGAAACATCTTTTCTTTCCATATGGAGATAGCCCTACACAGCTTCTCTTGCCTTTCCTTGCAAGATGTTTTCTTCCAGGGATCAAATTAAAAAGGCATGAGTTTGGCTAGATTTACATGTTCTTCCCTGTAGCGTTACTTACTTGAGGAATGGAAGTAGGAATATAAGTAAGCATATTGGTTTATGAAGGTGTTTACAGAAATTAATATGGCACAAACTGGAATGCTTTGGCATTTTACCAGCACTTGAGTCAACTTTGTTGTTGTTCTCAGGAAGGACCTGCTAAAATAAGCCTTCTACTAAAAGAATGAACTTTGTTTTAATGGTGATGTGAAATGGCATAGCTGATATAAATTAGGAAATACTTAAATCAAGAAGTTTTTGGTGATTTAGCATGGGAAGGACTAAACTGCATTTTCCCATTTACTATCCCAATCTACATTGCCCAGCTTTACTCTTTGCAAAATTATGCTTATTATGCTTCGTATATTCCTCTCAGGTATGAACTGTAGGCAGGAAACTATTGTTACTCTTTTTGTCCTTTTGCATCAAAAGGTTGCATTCAACACTGACACCTGTGTTGCTGGTTTCCTTAGGGTGTGTGTCTCGTGATTAGACTCAGTCTAAACTCTTCATGCTTTTATTCAGAAAGTGCTATTAGGGAAGAAGTCTTTAAAACTGATTAGGTAGACAATTCAGTGTTTTTATGGAAATACTCATCTGTATTAATGCGTTTTAATTTCACTGTATGAACACATTTTTGGCGCCTCTCATTTTTCACCGGGACGGAGGCGGCGCAGCCCGACGCAGCCGCAGGC